GTGGCAGCACACGGTAGGGAGCTGAAAGGAGAAGCCTGCCTATGGCTGTGGGCTACAGCGAGCTGCACCTTACAACAGGAGCCAATTTGATTCCCACTTTGGGGTTTCAATACTGAAAATACTCCAATATTGCAAAACACCACGTTACCACCCGGGCAGCAACACCTCCGAACGGCACTGACCTGGCCATGGCGACTCACATCAAAATACGGACCCTTTCTAGAGTCTCTCTGTGCTTTCTATCGTCACAGCCTGCTCTAGCTTGGTCTGTAAGAAGTCACCAGCAAGAATTTAGCACGTTTGAGCCTGCCTCCTCCTGCACGGTGAACAGAAAGGTGTTCCCAGCTGCAGCCAGCACTCGCAAGCCAAAAGGACAAAGATACGAGGGGAGGAGCGGAGCGGAAGCAGAAGAACGGAAGCGTTCACCCAAATTTTAATGCACAAATCAACTACATTTGGAAAAAAAAATAATAATCGGATTCAGGCTGGAAATTATAATAAATAGGTGGGCAAAATATAATGCAAGACTTACTCAGTAAAAGTGAATTTTTAATCATCTCATGAGATCTACTTAGAAAACAGGACTAAGCATGTTCACAACCGTAAGTCCAAACCCTTCACACACTTTGTTTTCCTTAACACAGCAGTGAATTGTAAACCTGCAGTTCCTGGTTATCGCTTCGCTTCTTTTAAATATTAAACTCAAGTGTTTCCTCCTTGGCCGTTTCAATTTTTTTTTTAGCACCAAAATTAGCCCCAAAAGAGGTACTGGTACAGCTCGATGTTGTAAATGAATCGTTTACATAGAATACTTTATATATTATACACACATACTGTACATTCACACGTCCACACAAACGGGAGGCATATTTCAATGAATATATTCTGTGTTTCAACTCGTCGTCGAAGACTGAGGAGCAATGGAAATAAAGCAGAAGGGGGAATATTTTACATAGTAGGCAACTTTAATGCTGTAGTGCACTTATAAAAAAGTCCAACTCTCCCTCCCAGCTCAGCAGCTTTTTTTGTTGTTGTTGTTGGTTTTTAATATCACTATTCAGAAGGATGCAGAAGTTATTGCCTAAATGTTATTCTATACATTTCCATCGGAATTCTCAAAACCACTTGAAATCGCTAACTAATTTACAACTTAACTATTTGTCTCGTTACAGCTTTAACTCATTGGCAATTTTGGAAGCAATGTTTTTAAAAGCTATGGATGTTCCCGATATCCGCTTGAAGCGAACGCCGTTCAGGGACAGTCTTGGCAGTTTACACACCTCCATCTCCCACTGCACCAGGTTTTCCGCGTGGCCGTCTCCGTGGACGCAGAAAAGCAAGAACCTCTCTCTCTGTTCATAGTCACAGTTATTGGCGTCCAGGACCTTCCGGATTTCCCTCATCATGTCGTTGGGATCCATGGAGCTGGTGGTTTTCATGCTCCAGGTAAAGCGCAGCGACCGGGGCTTGGCTTCCTTGTTCTCGTCCTTCTGATCCACGGCTACGTTGCGGCTGAAAAACAGGGATTTATTTGTTAGGAGGGTGGGTCACCTTCGCCAAGCTTCGTGTTAGTGAAGCAAACTAACGCTCAACGCGTGTTAGAGCAGCGTTTGGAGGCTGTGAGCAAGGCCCCGCTGTCCCGGTCGCTGTACAGACACACTCGGGGTAAAGCATCGGCTGTTGGGGCCGAGATGAGGGGACGGCACAACAGGGACACAGCTGGAAGTCTCTGGAGTCAGGACCACGGGGGAAATGACCCTGAGGGGGTAGAAAATCACCTGCGACTCTGGTTTAAGGCAGGTTCTGCTCAAACCCTTGTTGTCTGAGGCACCACTTCTGCGCTAGAAGTTTCTGGAACATTGACTTGGGACAAAAAGGGACTCAGCCCAGGTTGGTGTCCACTCATACGCAACGGGATGAACCCGTGCAGGAAGATCTGGGGTTCCTCTGCACCTCCTCTGGTGGGGCAGGATGGAGGCCAAGCCCCAGGAGGGTCCATGGAGGCCAAAGCCCCAGGAGGGTCCATGGAGGCCAAAGCCCCAGGAGGGTCCATGGAGGCCAAAGCCCCAGGAGGGTCCATGGAGGCCAAAGCCCCAGGAGGGTCCATGGAGGCCAAAGCCCCAGGAGGGCCCATGGAGGCCCAGCCCCAGGAGGGCCCATGGAGGCCCACAGTCGATCACTGCAAGGACAAGGACAACAGGACCAGGGGACATTGCCTGGGTCACCCAGGTACTGCCCCAAGGCCACCGTGTGCCGCTCAGCTCTGGGCTGGTTTGGTTTCACGCTGCCCTTCCTGTACTGGTAAATGTTGATGTTCACCCACCACGCAGTAGTAACCACGTTGTAGGCGACTACTTCAACTCCGTCTCCATGTTGGTCACTAATTTGTTTAAGAACAATGACAGAGAGGTAAAGGAATGAAGTCTTTTGCTGCTACAACCTACACAGCCTTGGGGGCTGAAATGCAGGGAGGAGAGAGGGGAGTCACCATCAGACACCTCCTCGATGCTGCTTGTAAAGATGGCAAATAAGGTTACTACTGCTGTCACTTCTAAGAGATAAAGCACAAAATATTGGGGCTGCGTTTCCCAAGTCTGCAATTTTAGTTTTTTAAAATAAATAAAAAGCTTTTCCTTTGGTAAATAAATATAAATGATAAACAGGAATATAAAAGATATAGATATAAGTAGTCAGACAGGACAAAGAAATGTTCCAGAAATTTCTAGCCTGCCATGATTCTTCTGTTACAATCAGAACCAATGATTCTGCTGTTACAATTCCTAGCCTGCAATGATTCCTCTATTCAAATCGGGGGTCGTGCAGCCAAAGAATAAGGACCTGCACTTGGACCCCCAGGGTCCTGCTGACAGCTCTGCTCTGTGGATGTCTGCACGCCGTCAGTCACCCTGCAGATCCACTGGTCCTCAGGACAAGAGACTTAAATACACTGTCATGCTTCAGTATGATCCAAAACTGCCTAACTGACCCCAAACCACGCAGTTAGGGCTCAAGCCACACTATTAAGTCAAGCTGCTCTTTAAAATAATTGGTAATGAATTTCTGGTCATACGATGCTCTTCCTCTACCACCATGAAGCAGCTGATTATGGAAAAATAAGTGATAGCGAGGTCAAAATTAAATAAATGTATTTCTCAAAGATAACCCATTTCATCATTTTATTAAGTTATTATGGACTATTAGAAAGATTTCCAGTACCTGTGAGGCGTAGGATTACGCTGTCAAATCCAGCTACGTGATTTGCCAGATACTATAAAATTCAGCAATAAAATGAAAGAGTAACTTGTTTGGACGTTAAGGTTTTGATTTGATAAGGCAGTATGGGGAATATCAACTTTTATTCAGTGCTCAATTGATTTTAGGCAGCTTTTCCTACTTGAAAACAGTCGGCAGAACCAGCACGAGCTTGGGAATTTCTTGTCATTTTTTTTTTAGATGCAGATTTTAGTGTAACACGAGAAATATTGTGATTTTTGGAGATGAGAAACACCCGCACGCCCTTCAGCCGTTATCCCACACGAGAGAGCATTTCCCTGCGGAGCTACGAGACAACAGCAAATTACCACGACTGCAGTGCAATCAAAGAACACAGAGGGGAAAGGGCAACAGGAAAGAGGGAAGTTCAGGACCAGAAAGTTGAGTCAATGCTTTAACAGCTGATTTTCGCAGACAGAAACGCTGCTTTTTGGGTCTCAAAGCCTGACACGACACAAAAGCTGCCGCCTGAAGCCACAGGACCACGGGGAGGAAGGGGCAAAGTCACCTATAAAAACCATTCGAAACACAAATTGCGCCCTCACCTTGAGCCCTCAAATCTCCCGTTCCTCTCAAAGTCAGTCGGGAGCCTCCCAGAAAAGAGCGCGGGAGCAGGAGGAAGCGGGAAAGAGAAGAGAAATCTTACACTAAAATACACAACAGCCGCTGCGGGCACAGCAACGGCGTCAGCATCCACAGCAACCGAGGTGCAAGGCGCTCCACGGGGGTTAGGAAACAGCATCTCGTCAAACCCAGTGCAACTCCCGAAACTGCTGCTTGATCCAGACCCGCAGCTCAACTTCACAATGCATTTTTGGAAATATTATACTAAAAAATAGTAAATATTTTGAAATCTTTAAATATTAAATAGATTTTAAAAGCCGAGCTTCTTCAAAAAGCAGGTGATGTCAATCTAAAATGACAACGCGTGTTGAAGCTGCTGTGTTATTTAGTAAATACTTCCCAAGTGATATCGAATCCTGATTGCTTTTAGGTTAATTATATTTAAAATTATGTATGTATATGTGTGTGTGTGTATATATATATATATATATTTGAAAAACAAAACTCTATTAACAGACAAGCCTGGTCTTTGTGTGTCTGCACGCACATCAGATCTGAGGTGTTTAAACACCACCAATACCCTTAGAGCAAAGGAAGATGCAGACACACTTTAGTAAAAATTGAGAGGTAAATTCAAAATTCCTCAAGCTGTTTTTAGGTTGAAATTGGGCCAAACTGTTACTAAACCAGTGCAGTCTGCATCTAAGAAGGGTCATTATTTACAAAATACTTGCCGCTTTGAAATAACAAACAGAAAACCCCTAATTTGTGCAGGTTTTCCATACATCAGTGTTGCAATTCATTCAGCACGAGGAACTAAGTTCTCAATTTTCTTCTGTATTTCCACATAAATTAATTTTATGGACCAAGACGCTCCTCAGTCTTGAGAATGGGACAAATATGTAGGAAATTTATGTTCTCATTTGCCATGCAATGCCTGCACAGCATCGCCTTTATGGTTTGTGAACAGCTTGCAAAAAGAAGAATGCTTCCATATGTCCATGAGATGTTTTAATATGTTTTCTGTTCTTTACATCTTTGCATGCTCTGT